CAGCTTCAAATGAACTCACGGACGACCAAACTAGGTGTCGTCGGTCCGTCTCGCCTTCCAGACTGAAGTCCACATGACCCGCCTTGTGTTTGGCTTGAGACGTTGCAGGACGTGACTTGCAGTCGACACCAATGGAGTGTCTGCTGTCGTCTCCTAGTCCGATTACCTGTTTAAAGTATGTTTAACGCCGAATTATCTGCGGGATAATAGCTGATTATGACTCGGGGCAGTGAAAGCCGCAAGGATGCTGTCTCGCTGATGCTGCCTTCTGTTGCACGACAGCGAGCTGTTTGTGACGGGATGTTGTTGACTAGGTGTAGGCGCCTTGACTCCGAGTGTTTGATTAGGGCATTAAATTTTTACCGTAGGTTCCGCTTCTCTTCCCCTCCATTTTGTTGGTCATCATTACAGCGATGCATCAGTTCAACTGGTTGATGTTCCTCTGTTGATGATAATGATAGTGTCCGCATTGAGGTTACGAGTCTTTATTTAAAGAATTTGTAAGCCCCTTTAATAAAGCGTTGCTTTTGAGATTTGCCGTATTTTCCGTTGAGCGGTTTCACAATTCTGAATGGTCACAAGGTAAATGGCTTTACAGTAAGCCTTGGGACATGTCTCTACGAAACGGTGGTCCTTATTGCCACGGTAGAGCACGCATTTGTGTGAAAAACTGGTTGCCTTTGTTCGCAAAAACTGTGTCCAAGTGTGCGTCGAGTCTAGTGAGGAATTCCGCCAGTTTGGTTAGACGCAGCGTGTTTATCAAAACTTTGGCACTCCTGTTGAAGTCACCAGTCAGATGGGACATCCTAATTTCGGTTCCAACCTCAAAACAAAGTGATCTGCAGGTTTTTTCGTCCCTGACAGCACTGCTTCAGGCACTACATAAACGTTCCCAACTACGACAGAAAACCACTAAGGAACTCTGGTTTCCATTTCAACGGATGGCAGTTTGTTGGAACCATTGAGTAAGCGGACGGCTGTGTGAATGATTTACACCAGTTTTCGCTAGTGCATATGGTGTCTTGGGTGGTCTTGGGTGGTCTGTTATAATATGTCGATGGCCATTGCTTTTAACGACTCCATCTTCAATATCGAAATGTAACCAATTTTCTTGTAACGCCATTATACAGCGTTCGTACCTTCTATTCGTTTCAAAAGGTTCTCGAGATCAACAAGTTTCCCGAGATGCGATCGTACATTACTAGCCAGGATATGCGGGATTTGTGCCTTGTTAGTAGGACAGTGTCCGAGTCCAATTTGGCAGCCAACACAGTGCAACTTCTTCTCTATCTTTTCTTGACAATCCTTTGAATATGTTTCTGATTTCTTGGCTATATTTGACTGGAGTTGACCTTCAAACATCTTCACGGAACCAAACCAAACGATCAACTGAGTTAGACAACATTGCCTACCTTATAATTGGTTCACATAAATGGATGATGGTATAATGTGTATACACACGAAAAAATCCGCAGTGGATAGCATAGAACCATATTCCAGGGACAACAACAACGGCCGAATTTGACAGCTCCACTTGTCCCTAAACAAACCATTACCACATCAAACAGATAAATCCGGTGTTTTGCCTTGTGATGTGCGCCTCCTAATGATCACGTACTTTTTAGACAAAGTTCTTGCGTCCATTTTGATTCACCGAACCTAGGTTGAAGATTTGAGTCGCCAGTTCTTGTGAGAGGGCTTGTACAATCAGTCAGCATTGTTCCTGCTTAGTCGGACGTCAGGTTGTTTTCATGCTTCAACTTTCTACTGTAAGTCGTCATTGTGATTGGCGTTTGGGATATCGCACTACCCAAGCTCATCTTCCATGCTCGGTATTTTCCGATTACGCTTCTTTAGAAGCTGATTTGCAGCGTAGGAGCACTTACCAATTACAGCTTTTCTCATTTGCATGACTTCGTTAACCGTGTAGACATTACAAAGAATGCATCGTCTGCATTTTACGAACACAGTCTGTTTGGTTTGCTAGTTCTTTGGTCTCAAAAACAAAATCTCTATCGAATTTCTTGCTTATTGTATTGTCAGAAAACATCTCACGACAGAGAAGCATCACCAAAAGCTGAGCGCACTTTTACTAAATGGCCAAACCTCTTGGCGTACATTTATTGTCCGAACTTTACTATGCCATAAAATCCATACAACCGCTGTCAGAATCGAACTTCTCAAAATACTCACAATTCCTGTCCTTGAATACTGCAATATCATTTTTGGGCATGTGTATGGATGGCAGGAGAGCTTTGGAAAACCTGCAAAGATCATTCCCTAAACGCTTGTTCAGTAAAGCGTCCACCTTATATTATCAGGAGCGCTATAGCGCGTTGATCGTGCGCTATATATCCGGTACGCGACTAGACGGCCAACAAGAAGCAGTGGGTAGAAGACACAAAAGTAAGCTAGGGAAGAAGTTTATTGGACGGGAGGAGCGTTAGCTAATGCTAAAAATAGGGCACCCGGAGAGAGCTAGCTAGGGAAAATGTCGTTGGCGTCGAGAGCGTAGACGGAGCGTCGTTCGCAGTCGAGCCGCGCGCCAAAGGCGGAGATCGTTCTCGTGTTTCCAACAAACGGGAACAACGTTCCAACAGGCAAACCGAATAGTTCCCTAATACATAAGAAAGCAATAATTTGAATATTTTAGAATAGTTTACACAGTCATACGGGGGAATCTCCAGGTCGCTACAGCGCTACCAGCAGCTTAAGCTCGGGCCCCTTTGGTTGCGACGATGAAACACAACTTTACGCTGACATACAATCTCATAAAAACACTCCAATCTATGCACACTAAAATGGCAACATAACTTCACTCGGAATCTACTCAACGAAACCTGTAAACTGACTGTGTCAAGAAGCAGTACAGCTATCCCATCCAACTTATTTATCGTCAGATACGCTGTCGTGTGGAATAGCCTACCAGCCACAATCAGGTCTTGCACGAATTCAAGAACATTCCGAATTCAACTTAAAAGTTTTATGGTCCAACACTCGATATTGATCATGTTTCCATCGGGTAAATCACTACACGAGTTCTTCCAAGATGGACTAAGTGATATATAACCAGTAAAAAAACATAATACGCCAAACTTGGCATCAAAAAGCTTATGTGATCTCAAAATATTTTGATGTCACACACCTCAGAGTACATATCTCTCGCATACATGGGCATGATCTGTCCCCAATCAAGGGACAGCTTCTCGCACAATCTAGAGATACACGTCTTCTGTTCCGTACTCATGTGCCTCAGACGTTTCCCTTTTACTCGTGAATAGGGATTTCAGTACATTTGTATTAAGGTTCATCGTAGCAGCTTCCAAGTCAAATAATCTACCAGCAATTTAGAAAAGTACCAGACGGCTGTTTGGGCTTTTGCGACTCGTTGTTGGTGCGCATCTCCAGTTTCTATCAGTAACTGAGCCCACGACTACTGACGGCTTGCGCCAGTAGCTTGGGTCACTAGGCCACAGTGGACGGCGTCTCGCCACAGACGAGTCCCAACAAGATAAAACGGTCGTCTGGTACTTCACTAAATTGACTGTAGGCTATCTAATCTGGAAGCCGTTGCAATGAAACCTCGGTGGAATTTCTTTTTAGCTGCCTAACAGAGCTGCTGCACTTAACATATAGTTTTGCGCGGAAATTTCTACCATTCTTTTGCTCGTTTTCCGCCGGAACTTTCTGCTGAGTATTGTGAATTCCACCATTGCTTTCTATCCTCACTGCTGACGGCTCAGTGGGGCGAAACGAGCATAAAATGCTTTACCAGTTGCTGATTTATTATCATCCTTGATCTGCATCCCTTGTTGACTTCATCTCGGTGAATGTTGTGTACTTGGGGGATTTTGCTATCGCATCATCACATTAGTATACTCGTTGTCCTATGTTATCAGTTCATCTTCCTCTGCTGTACCAAACATTGTGGAATCTTGCCTCCGTTCTTGAGCGATTTGAGAGGTTGACTAGCAGCACCAATTCGACCCTGCTTTTGTGATTATACGGAACGTCTGTCTCACGGTTGAATTCGTTTTTCGCGAAGTCCGTGCGTTTAGATAACTCACCTTTGTTTCCAGACTATTGTGTTTTGTAAACCGGATTTCTTGCTTCCAACCTCTTCTTCAAATCTGTCTGTCAAAGCATAGCTCTAAACTAGTGAGTAGAGTAGTACTGCCTTCGGATTGGTTAACTTACGTGCATCACCACTGAGCACAAACCTGTGTCTGTTACTCTTTTTTCACGGTTCGCATTCTTACGCAGTGTACATTACTATCCGCTCCGTACGTGTACTCGTCTTGACGCCTCTTTAGGCTCCACCGAGAATTTGCATATCCACGTAGTCTGGCTGTTGCCACACCTCCTCCTAAAGGAAAGTGTGTGGTTTGTTGACTGAGCCACGGCCGTGCTCCGTCTATAGACTTTTCAGGAGGGAACTAGCCATTATTTTTAGATAGATGAAGTTTACTGATATGTTCAACATTATCACTTTGGCCTTCGCTCTAGTTGCAAGATGTTAGGTATACCGGTACAATCCAGTTGTAGTTCATTGCTTCTTTCCATCAGGCTTGGATCTATTCTACCAATCACTAACTCGCATTGGAAATGAATTGACTTTGGCCTTAATGTCGCCGCTGATGTGCACTGTTTCAACTGTTTTTGTTTTTCTGGTGTTGCTCCCGTCTGATATTCCCTTCGTCCTGGACGTACTGATTGCTTACTGGCTGACAACCCGTGCTATGACACTACTCTCGTGATCAGGACGCTGTTTCTTCTGACAATTCCTTGCTGTATTCCCTGTTCCTCCACTTTTCCCGCAGCGCTTGCGTAACTTTAGGGGTACACAATGATACCTCGATACAATCTGCTGCTGTACTTCCCATGGTGACTCATGACAGTGGCGCAGAGATTATGTTCGAACAGTTTCCTGCGAAGTCACATGGTATCTGCGCTAATCCACTTTCCCTCATTGTTCTCTCGTTTGTCGATGTTTTTCGCAGTTGGCGGACCGGGAGGCATCTACGATGGCACTTTTATCCAAGTTTACCGAACGGTTGCGCTCCGTTGTGAATCCTGAGAAAGAAAATGTACATTCCGCATCGTCCTCTGGAGACAGTTGGTAAGTTTCGGCAATCGCACTCACTGTTTTTTTTTCACCCCAGCTATTTGCTTACGCATTTGCAGATGTGTGCCTTTTCAAGTAACAAAATGGACAAGCGCGGGTATTGCAAATACTTGTTACTGGTGGGCACTCATGCGGTATCTAATTTAGGGTTCTTCCTAGTAGCTTTCAAGTCAGACAGATTGCCGCACCTCCAGAGAAGCACTAGACGACCCTTTCGTCCTATCTAGATTCATCTGTGCTTAGCGTCCCTCGGCTCCTCAGCTTCTCAACCATGTGTCGTACATAACTACTATCATCGAAAGCCGTGGCTCTAAGGGCCCGCCCTGTTTTCTGCAATGTTCGTAACGCGCATGGCAGTGAAAGGTGAACCACACTTTTACGTCATGACAGTCTGCTGCCACCCACTCTATTGGCTAGTGGCACAAGCCGCTGGTGTCGATAAGTCTTGCGTTCGGTTCCTGGTGGAGTCGACGGATGCGCTCACTGTTGACTAGCCTCGGCCTCCTAGTGCTTTTCTAGATGTGTGGCCATCTGTCTGACGTGGAAGCTACTGCGAATTGTCACCGAATAATTACATCAAAACCCCTTACACACAAGCTGTCTGGCATCATCTAACGACCATCGATATGTCAATCCCCGCGGCCCTCCGTCACATCATTTGGTCCCTGCCTTGTTTTCATGATGGATTACTGTATTGCTCGAACGCTTCTTCATGCCTTCTGAGATTCTCCTGTTAGAAATTGTGTTATAATTCACTGTGGATTCATTTTATTCATCCTTTATGTGAATGGACTACTACACGCTGTCTCAATGTGGACTGCGGTTCACATTGGAATGGACTTAGGTCAGTCCGGTCACACAGATGCCTCCTATCTGAAACTAGTATGTTTTAGATGCTTCAAATGAACTCCCAGTGGCTCATCAACCGTTGTTGTACGAACTCTGATCACATCTTTTTGGAGTAGGGGCAAAAACTTCCGTCATCATTCTCCGCGTCCTTGATTCGAACAAAAAATCTGCTGTCTGTGCAACGAGCTTAAACATTCACGCATCTGTTGTGGAGCACGAGCAACAGACAACACTCAGAGTTTTTGCCAGGATTGTTTTTAAAGTGCAAACTTATGCAATTAACAATTTTATTTGTGTTTGACAAAGATAAACCTTTTGAGAGATAGCCACTTACGAATGCTGTGATTAAGATTCGTTACAGCTAGACAGGCAGACAGCCCACCACAATCTAGGAAAACGCTTTCCTGGATATGGGATGTCTTTCTACCTGAGCATAGCTGCAATGAATTTTCACTAAAACCCAAATAATCCACCTACTACTCATTAATCCACGAATGCTGCTGAAAACAAGTTATTTAGCCGACTGAACTCTTCATTTTTAGGGTGCTAAGCGGCATTGCTTGCTTATTGTGCGACGCAGCCCCAAACTACCTGCTATCACTGCACGTGTTTGCTTATTAGAACACTTTAAACAACTATCTGTTCACCTAACCATCCATTTGGTTTCGGTATTTCTTTCTGTTATCACTGCAAATCGCAAACCCTCCACTTCGGATATGGTTCCAGTGACCGTATTTGCAGTGGCTGACTTCAAAATCAACCGAGGCCTCAATTGAGATCGCGTGTCGCGTTCCAAGACACACGGCGGATACTCCAGTACCCAACATTTAACCATTCAGTTGTTTGAATGTCGTCACATGTGGGCAAGGAAGATGAGCGTCCGATTCACCCGCGTATTTGGGGATCGCACGGTGTTTATTAATACCTGTCTTAGAATCACCAGTCCCTGCGCTTGTTTGTGACTTGAAGCCGCGCCGCGGTTGTTAGGTCAACTTCCTAGCACTTTCTTAATTTTATACAGTACATCTCTTCCATTTTGCTTCGTCTGGGATGCTTTTGCCTCAGTCACAAAAGCAATTCAACTCTGTTGGCATTGATTTTGCCAGTTTATGAACTGTTCGCCACTTTTTTATGCCTCATATACTTATTTATCACGCAACTGAACCTCTTTCCACAACTCTTTTGTCAGGTTAAACAACAAGCTTGTCTCTGACGTCCCCGCACCTGCAAGACAAGTCCTTGATCCTACCATGCCACATCCAGACCGTTACGATTTATACGATCCTCGAAACCCGTTGAACGTGCGCAAACGAGGAGGCGATATAGCAGACGAGAAACAGCCTTCCACTGGCAAACGCGTTCGGTAGTTTTGGAGGACCTTTGTTTATGCTACCCGTTCTATACTCGTTCTTCGGCAAACTTCCACTTGCATCCTTTCAGCGGCATTTGTAGCACTTGCTTCGCGAAACACAACACCATGTTGTTCTACTTACTTTGAATTCGAACTCGAGGGCATGTGTACATACTGCCCCTCGATGCGATTGTATCTAATCACTTCATTCATCAATTTGTTTTATTTTATGCGCTACTGTTGATCAGCCGAGCTTCGTTTTGGGCGGACTCATGATCCCAGTCTGTTGCCTGATAACTGCTGCTGAGTATCAAATACCAACCCACACATATAGTGACAGACCTCGGACTCTCTTTGCTTCCTTCAGTTTGTCTGCATCTTCAACTTGTATCTATCAGTCAGAAGCTTCTCCTGACATGTTACCTCATGAGCACTCAGCAGCGATTGCAAGGTCTGCAGGCCATTTACGTTTGGGACATTACACTCCTGCGGTGGACGCTAAAGGAACAACTTTTCACTTGAGAGCTCTGTCCAGCTGCTTGGTCCCAGTTGGCCATGGCGTTTGAGCGTGATCTATTGGAACAATAACCATCATCTTATTTCCCTCTCTCGGGAGTGTGATGTATTGTAGCGCTTTGTTGTCATCTGAAAATCAATACGGTCTCTGCTCTGTGAATAGTCGTGATTTTTTCATTTCTGTTTAACTGGCGAGCCGCTGCAATTTCGCATGTTTCCACCGCCGGCATACTTACTCATAATTTCACTAAACCTGCATGCTTTAAAGGAGACCACTTCAGTCATTGTGGCGTACTATAAGCTCACTTAATCGACTGATCACCGAATCGCGGTTGTTTCATTTGTCATAACTAGCGCTACTATGAAGATGATGACACGAATAACGATCGGTGGTGTGGTGCAGACAAGCTCCGTAGCACAAATCCATCAAATTAAACACTGGAAGTTAACAAAGTATAATTGCGCCCTTTCTAAAACTACGAACAAGATATCCCATGTAAAACGGCTAGTGAATTTACAATTGCGTCATGACTTACAAGGTTCAAATCATCCAGGTGGCTAATCCCAAGGCCCTATACAAGTGGACAAAACTACCGGTTCGGCTAACTTGGTTATTCCCTTCACACCTTTTGCCATTTCCTCGGTCAATCATGTTAGAGTCACCCAGCCATCGTGTCTACCCGAGCAGCAGTTTATGACTGAACGTGTTGTACTCGATTTCTACAAGTTGTAAGCGTCTGGAGTAGAAAGCAAGTGGTTTCCAATATCCATCGGTAAGTTGCTTTAAGACTGTGCCAATGGCTGTGTCCGATGCGTCAACAACGACGCTGAGCTGGGATCTTGCATCAAAAGTGGATGCATAACGGCTTCGACTAAGACCTCTTTACTGGCATTGAATGCTTCGATGGCAGCAGCGGTCAACTCCACCTGACTGCTTTTGAGCCCACGAATTAGATCGGTTAGTGGACTTAGTAAGTTGGCACAGTGTTGAAGAAAGCGGCCAACGTAGTCCAAACTGGAAAATCTCTGTTGGCGCTGACCATCGTAGGAGCCGTCTGCCGTGCTGATCGACGTGGTATCCAGGAAATTCAAGAGATGGCTGTTACAAAATGCATTTGTCGGTGTTTACAAGGATGCGATTAGTGGCTAACCTGGCAGAAAGGATGTTGAGATTCTCCACGTGTTGCTCACCGGAAACGCTTGCCCTTAACATATCGTCCATGTAAGGGTACACGAAATTTAAACCACTAATGAGTCGCTGGAAGATCTGAGCTGCGTTGCGAAGACCAAATGGCATGCGTAATACTTAAAGACTCGAAACGATGTGGTTACGGCATTTTTCGGTATGTTTTCCTCAGCGACTGGAATCTGGTCATACACATGCATTAGATCGATTTTATAGAACACACCGATGCCACGTAGGCTAGCCGTGATGTTCTGATTGTGAGGAATAAGCTAACGGTTACTTTCTTAAGCGCGCGCTAATCGCTACATAGACGCCGGTCTCCGGACTGTTTGGTACCATATGAAGCACTGATGCCTGCGAGCTTTTTAACGCTCGCACGACGCATGTGTTCGAATTTTGCGCGGGAAATTTTCAGCTTGTCGAGAATCATTCGCCTGACTTTCGCGAATGCAGGCAGCTCTTTGAAAATGATGTGATACTTCCCAGCATCAGCAGCTGATGACAATGATGCTATTGCATGGAAGGTTTGCTGGAACTTACTGGGAAGCAGCTGACCAAGAGCTGAGCTCGATTGTTTGGCGTATACAATATAGACTATGTTGTCCATAATACCTATAACTGCCAGGTTAGTATGACGGTCGGTCAAACGGTGTTTCTCCATGTCAAGTAGCAAGTCGTAGTGGTGCAGCACGTCAAGACCAGGAATTGGGGTCTGGCCATCAGTGGTGAGGAAAGTCCATTTAAAAGTAGGTCACGCGCGTGAGTGTAGGCCATATACGCGAATGGTGGTACCGTTGACTACGTGTAGTGTGCAAATCGCCTCATTCAGGCCTTTCTTATCGCGAGGAGGGATACTAACTTTGGCATCAGTGTTCACCAAGTAACCAACTCCTGCTTCTCGATAAGTGAGGAAGAAAAGGTGACTGTGGTCACCAGCGGTGTTCGTCGCCCCTACGTGCCGCTCGGTCCGTTTCCCTGTGACTTGCGAGAAAGTACAGGGTCGGTGACGGGATCTGGCGTCTTCACCATCCGTCTGTGGCACTCGCTTGGGGTAGGTGTCTTAGACAGGAACCTCGGAGGGGACTTGGTGCATGACGGACAGAATCGACTCCTAGACTAGTTCTTCCCTGCATTCCCTGAAGCTACTATTTCCTCGCGTCGTAGCAAAGGCTTATAGCGCGCCGCTCGTGTGCTATATATCAAATTCGCCGCTTAACGATCAGCCGAGAGCGCACAGAACACAAGAATATAAGCCGGAAAATATTTATTGTGCGGTCGCTAGCTAGGGAGGATATGGACGTGTGTTGAGTGCGAGGCCGAGCGCCCTTTCAGTAGGTCGCAAAGAGGATGCGAATGTTACGTGTGTGATTAAGACAAACGGGAACAAAATTCAAGCAACCAAACCACCTACTTGCCTAATACATAAGGAAACTATAATTTTAGAACAATTTACGCGAACGGAGCAACCTCCAAGTCAGTACGGGCTGATGCTAGCTGCGTAATCTTGTCTTCCGGTGTAGAGTGGATGTGCCTCATTCGGCACTAGGTTTCTCTCATATCCGCATTGAAAGTCTTGCCTCAATCTACTCAAGTGAATGGACACTACACGTTCATGCACGCACACGCACCTACCAACCTCATCGTGTCGCCAGTGAATACATCTCGTGATGTCCTGTCAGATGTGGATCACACAGTTCTCTGTCCAGACTTGTTTTCTTTCCTTTATAAGGTTCCGAGCCCTGTAGAGCATACGCTCTCTATCGTTTACTTACCAATACTAATGCGTACCAGTTTCCCAAATACGATCATCCGTGCCAGCCAGTTTAGTTAGTGACGCATCTGCATTAACGTATAGAATGTTACACCTTTTGCATGAGATACAGTGGAGCCACACCTCTTTGAGAAACGAGTCGTCAATAGTGACAGCTCTAGTTAGACGTTGCACCTTGCACATGAGCAGACATGGTTTCAAATCACTTGGCTTGGCGTCGCTAACTAGTTTCTTGACGCAAACGCAATCTGTCATACCAATTCGTTTTGAAACGGCAGCTTTATTCGCCGTGTAAGTCATGTGAGATTCTGGAATGTCATCGAGATTGTCGACGACTTGCGAAGGAATTGCTGTGACGATGTGGTGAAGTTTGTCATTCACAGGCCAAAGTATAGAGCCATGCGTCCTAACCTCATCTCGGCGTCTCAGTCTCCAGTAGTCACAATTCCTTTCTCTTCTTGCTGTAAGTAAAAACTGCTTGCGGCTTGCCCGCTTCAACTTCTCTACAATGTGTCACCCAGTAGTCCACTAGATATAAAGTCGATCCAAAGTTACGGTCAGTCCACCACATTGAGGAGCCAGACACCGTATGCGTCGGTTGCCGCTAGGCGAATACCGGAAAGGATACCGGTAACATTGGTGGCCTGACTGAGGAAAACTGAAGTGTCGCAGCACGGATGGCATCTACCAATGCCGTCCATGAAACCCCCAAAAGCACGGGAAAATAAAGCTCAAAAACTAGTAGTCACTAGGCGCAACAATGGTTCCCTAGACCTCATGTGCACTTATGTCCCCGAATGCAAACCCAACACAATCAAAGATAAGCTAACGGACGATCGAAATCAATGAAACTCCATCTATACGGCGATTGGTGTCCATGCTGATCCCAAGACATTAAGGCGCGTCACCCAAACTCACTGCACTACAGTGAGCTACGATTACTTCAGGTTACACTAAACTCGTTGGACGAGGCCGTTCTGTTGCCTGCAAGTCGAATCCGCAACGTCCCAAGTAAATTGCGCATACTACTTTACATCCCGTTGAAGGAATTTTCAACGGATCACGATAACCGAGGAAATCGAAAAATTCAGTTAAGGTAACTGTTTGCTCGCGATGTTTCTGAGCTTACAGTTTCCTCCTCCGACAATGCTCAAGTATACGACACTGAGCAATGGCGCTACTTCGTCGCCACCACATTGACAAGGTTCCCCTTGTCACCTGACTACAAGAGATCTGGTCCCAAGCTATTGAAACGTGTTACAGTTTGGACTGACGACAAAATATTCTAGCGAATTGGGCTAAGTTCAGTTAGCAGGATGCCAGCAGAAATTCGTCTGAAAACAGCAGGAAGAAACCCACAGTCTAGTGACAACCCAGTAGGGGTGGCCATCTCAATGAAAGCACTTATTGTAGGGTCCGAGGAGGTGACAGTTTCAACCGTTATAACACCCGAAGGGGCACAACGGAATTCAAACGATCACCAGATTCTGGAGCATTTTGTGTAAAGATTTATCCCAACTTTGACTCTAGAGCCTACAACCGATCCCAAAAGCGCTTATCTGCCGTATCTACACCGTTCGGCATAAACTCAATTGCTTCCTGCACCACATCCAACACGCTTATGGTTTCCAAGAAGCTCTCCTGCATTTACACAAGTGCCCAAGGCCTACTCAGCAGATTACCTGAATTGAGACTTCGACATGCGTCAATAGCTTTGGACCGCATCACTATTACAGAAACATGGTTGTGCTTTGAGATAACGGACGCCGAAATCGCGCTGACAGGTGTGTCCATTGTCCGGAATGATCGAGCCAGCAAAGGTGGTTAAGTAAGACCCCTACTTTCGCAACAACCTCCAATGCTAACCCATACATGACTCGGAAACCGAGGTACTTGACTACATTTAGTGTAGCTTACTGCTGAGAGAGAACGACGCTGTCTAGTGGCTGTTGTTGACTGCCCACCATCGTCTAAACCGGAGTTGAAATCCAACTTGGTGGCTGCATTGAGGCAGGTGATAAACAGGAAGTGCAATCCCGTTCTAATCGCTGGCGCTTTCAACTTAAATACTCTCGCATCTGAAGCCA